CAGCCCCCCCCGCCCACCAGGCCCTCACAGCCCACCTCGCCCACCAGAGCCTCTTAGCCCACCTCTCCACCAGAGCCTCACAGCCAACCTCGCCCACCAGAGCTTCACAGCCCACCAGAGCCTCTCTGCCCACCAGAGCCTCACAGTCCACCTCGCCCACCAGAGCCTCACAGCCCACCTCGCCCACCAGGGCCTCACAGCCCACCTCGCCCACCAGAGCCTCACAACCAAACCCGCCCACCAGAGCCTCACAGCCCACCAGAGCCTCTCTGCCCACCAGAGCCTCACAGTCCACCTCGCCCACCAGAGCCTCACAGCCCACCTCGCCCACCAGGGCCTCACAGCCCACCTCGCCCACCAGAGCCTCACAGCCAAACTCGCCCACCAGAGCCTCACAGCCCACCAGTGCCTCACAGCCCATTTCGCACGGTCACGACAATGGAAGCACGAATGGAGTGGTTCAAGAACGATCGGTCAATTTAATTGAATTATTGATTTTGACACAACTGAACTAACACAAGGGACACATTATTTTCATAAGTCGCACCAAACTCATTGACTGGAAAATGAGAGTGCCATTAACTTTGTCATAACCTCGCAAACATTGAACAATTTTTTCTTTGAAATCGAAATGTTTATTTTCCAATGAATTTGTTGCGTACTTAACTTTGTGAAAATAAACAATTGTCCATATGAATTGTATATAACCATCTAAATGTATTGTATAAGTCATAAGTCTATTTGCAATTTTTAAGGTGACACCTACATTGATTCCTTTTTTTCATTTTTTTTCTTCCTTTGTAAAAGTAATTAATTCCACAAAATTGTGTCCAACTCAATCGTAGCTTTCTTGATTAAAAAAAATAAAATAACACTTAACTTAACACTATTATGTCTATATTGCAGTTACATTACATGGCAAAGTGTTACGATACGGTAACTTGACGTTCATATTTTATGACATTAAAAATGTTTAATATATAGAAAGATTTTTTTTATTATGATAAGATCATCCAGCCTCCATTTAAATTTAAGCAATGTTCGTGTTGTAGTCACTATATTTAGTCACTTTATTTAGTCACTATATTTAGCCACTAAATTTGGTCACTATATTTAGTCACTATATTTGGTCACTATATTTAGTCACTATATTTGGTCACTATATTTAGTCACTAAATTTAGTCACTTTATTAGTCACTGTATATGGTCACTACATTTAGTCATTCTAATATATAATATGTCCATTTTTAAAACGGAGTGACTATTGGTACCCGGGTATCTATAGCAACAATTGCCTTTTCGGACCCGGCTGGTCACGTGAAGGCGTAATAATTATTCGGTTGGTCACGTGACGGTTATGACGGATACTTCCTGTTCGCTTGCCATCTTCAACCATTGTTATCAACTGAGAAATGTGCATATTTTGAAGACTTTGTGATGCAGCGTTAAAGAAACACGAATAACAATTTGACGTACAGCTAAAAGCAAGTAAGAATACGTTTATGTTTATAATTTTATTGTAAGACATCAATCAAGATCAAAGTTGCTTTTTTTTTTGGCGGCAAATCGGCTACTGAGCCCACTACTGTCTTAGTCTAATCAGTCTTATCACTTATCTGTAGTTGAAATTCAAATTGTAATGAAAAGTTTGGCTCCGGCTATTCTGACCCGGTATCAGAAGTGGAAAGTTGATAGATCTACTTCAATTTTAATTCACCGCAAAAATTATTATTATTCACACTTCCCAAAAAACAAATGTTCTTTTGAAATTTAAAACAATTCGGAGAGATCACCCCGCGGCCGCC